TTAACTAAATAGTACAAAATAATAAATATAAATTAATATATAATATAATAATATAATATAAAATAAAAAATTATCAAAAAGTTTAAGTATAATTATATAACTGTGTTATATAACTAATTATAATATTATATATTTTTTTATATTATATATTATATATTTTTCGATTATTATTCAATAATTGTATAATATTTTAATTATAATTAATCAATTAAAGAATTAATTAATTATCATGAATAATAATGAATTATTATAATATATAATGTTCAACTTTCACTTAGAAAAAAATCACATCATTATCTGCAATCAGCTTATAATTTTAATTGCCTCGATACTTATCTCTTTAAAAATATTTCACACATTTAACTCTTGTTTTTCCTTTCAGCCGTGGTAGTACGCTATTTGACGAGACGATACATTGGCGAATACAGCTCAACCAGTGGTAAGTCGTTCTTTTTTTCCATTTCTTTTGTACTCTTTAATTCTTTCGTAACCATCTATACCGTTCTTGCTACACGTTACTCGAAAATCAAACTTTTTCTCTCGTTACTTTCATTTTTGATATAGTTTTCAATATTTTCTATCATGATATAATAATAATAAACTTAATAACTTGTTCTGTCAGCTTTTTATTTTTTCTACGATCGCTTGATTGACTTTATTATATTAAGTTATACTTTGTATTTTTAAATGCTATATTTTACAATTGAAGAAAGATTTCATTTTTATAGTAATACAGAATTATATTTTAATGACATAGAATAGACTATTTCTTTCTTAATGAAAATGATTGAAGATTTAAATATTAATTGATTAAATTTTATAATTATTTATAAAAAAATCTCAATTTTGCTAAATTTTGAATATATTATAAAAGAAAGTACCTGATCTATACCTATACATCCTGTCTACAAATATCGGCCGATACTCAAAATATATTGTTATAATTTCGCTAATCATAATTTCGATCATTAGTATTTTAATTATTTAATGATAGTTTTACGTATTATTTTTGGATTTCATGGATTCTTTGGGTGATTTCAGATCAGATTTGCCAGATAATAGCCAATATGATATTCTCTTTATTATTAAAAATAATTCAATTCTCTCATAACGAATTTCCGCATGAGAAGAATACTTAGTAGTCATATTATCTTCACTATGACTACTAGATAGATCAGGCTTTAGGCCAAAGCTAAATATTGCATTATGTTACATGACGTAATTTTGCTTAATCTAATAATAGCAATGGAAATAATGTGATATCATATATTCTTTTTATGCAAAAATTCGTTATCATAATTAATTTTATAAAGAAAACATATATTCTTAAATTGTTTCTAATATTTAATACAAAAAAATTCAATATTTTTTAATTTCTAAAATTGCTTAATTGATCTAATTAATCCTTAATATGTTTAAAAAATTTTTGAATATCGTTGATTATTTATTGTCGATTTTAAAATATCAATTACTACAGTTATCTGTAATGGATCTGTACAATGGATTATCTTTGATTTCCTAGAACTTCTTATATTTTCAAGTTATTTTGATCCGTAATATTCAATGGATCATTTTTCATTCAATATAGATAACAATCAAAATATATATTTCAAGACAATTCAGATAATTTTAAATTTATATTAATCATTTATATTAATAATAATTATAATTATTTAATAAAATAATATAATAAAAAATTAATTTATTATATTAATTTATTTATTATTATTATTTATGTTATATATCGCTCATTTATTTTTATTATGACATAATTTAAAATTTTTAATTTTCTAATAATTTGCTGATACATCATATGATATATCATGATATATCATGAAAAGAAACGCAGACTATATATGATTAAAAGAAAAACATATTTATACTAATTGTTGATATATTGAAACAAAATTTTAGAAAAATATTCTTATAGAATTGTGATAATTAATTAAAACTGATTTATCGAAAAAAGTTTGTGGATTTATAAATTCTTTTTTTAGAAACATTTAATTAATTTTAAGAAATTACAAATTAGAATTAAACAAAATTAAAAAAAATATTGTTAAACCATTAACTACTATTATTATCATTAACTATGAAGCTTATAATGTGTCATCTTCCAAGAATTCTCAAGGAATTATAAGAAAATATACGTTGAATTATAATAATATGATTAAAAGAGATCGTAGAGATTACACATGATTTCTTTTCACGACTCTGAGAGCGATCATCGGCCGACCGCGAGTACAAATTGAACGATCGTGAAAACGGGCCCTGAGAGTATACAACTTCTTCCCCGTAGAGTATCGAATTCTCGGAATGCGGACCATCGTATAAACGTGATTATCTAGACTCCTTTTACTGCGAGTTCCAGTTCCCCTTTAAGCTATGCATACCAAGAGTCGTGGCGAGCAACGACAAGATTTTCAACAAGATTTGCCTTCTCGCATTTTTACTCTCGTATTTCTCTTCGTTTTTGCCTGACTCGTTCTTCTTTAGTATATCTCCAGAGTGAATTTTATGAGTATACGAAAGGCGAAGGTTATAAGTTAGTGGAATATAAATTTTACAATTTGTTTTAATATTTTGGAATAATTATAATATTATAATATTATTATATATTATAATATTCCTAATAATATATAAATAATGAATTTTGTTACCGTTTTTTTTAAAAATAAATGACAGTCAATAAAAATGAATTTCGATTATAGAATATATCATATCATAATGATGATAAAAAATATGTGTAATATGTATTAATAATACGTATTTCTAGAATGAATTATAATATACCATAAATATATATAATATAAATATATAAATATATCAAAAAAACTTTATTTACTTTTTTGTTGAAGATAAATGACATATAAATATGTGTACATATATTCAATGAATGGATTCTAATTATAAGATGTGACATCATAATGATGATAAAAAATTAATATTTTCAAGATTTATTGATACCAAAGATCTTTGTAAGTTAATTATGAAATATTTTTTTTACAATTTGTTTTTTTTATATTTTATAATAAATTATGTAAATTAAAAATTTTTATTTTCATTGAAGATAAATGAATATTCAATAAATGAATTTTCATCATATATATAAGTGTTATATGATATTATAATATTAACAAAAAACTAATAATATTTTCAGATTAAAAAAATATAAAATATTTGTAAAATCATGGAATGTGCGCTTCAAATTTGATAATTATATTCTAAAATTCTAATTTTTGATACCTTTGATAATGAAACGACTTTTTTTTTTCTTATTTATAATGAATTAAAGATCACGATGTATTAATAAATGTATTAATGTAAAAATAATATGTGTTTTTAATTCTTTATAAATATTACTGAATGCATTGATGGACTTTATATATAAAGTTCGGTTATAGGATTGAATGATTATTTTATAACGATTATCACAGATAATTTCATTGCAATTACTATATAATGTAAAATATATATAAGAAAAAATATAAAATATAATTATTAATATAATTATTAATATAAATATATAAAATATATATTGTAATTATATAATATATATATAAAATATATAAATAATATATATTTAATATATATTTATATATATATATATATAAAATATATAT